ACAGGACTGCATGTGACAACTGCAGGCTTAAGTGCTCTGGTCCGAGGAGGCGGGAGGTGTCTCTGGCCAGAAACCTGCCGGAGGGAAGACCATGGATTTGCCTTTGAGCTTTGCAGGAGTCTGTTAAGCAAGGGGGTTCTGGGGGTGGTGGGGGGACAAAGGTAAGAGGAAAAGAGGCCAGGGCGTGCCGGGAGGGAGGCCGGCGCCAGGGAAGACGGGCTAACTTCTATGCAAGCTGAAGGGTCTGTTCTGTGTGCATTTTTTAACTTGTGAAAAATACTGCCGAGCACATATGAATATCTCCCTCTTGAATTTACACATTCTTCTCTTTACCTTTGGGCAGGTAGAGGAGGTGGTTGGACCAGAAGCATCTATGAATCATGTGTTGTTCAGATTTGCGTAGAAGAAAAATTCCAAACTTAGAGAAACATCGTGAGAGTACTAATCTTGTACTAACTTCGAAAAGATTCACCAATTGCTAACATTTGCTCACTTAACTGCTCTCTCTACATTTATCACATTATCGTGGTTGTTGAGCTGTTTGAGACTAGGTTGCTGTCATCACCACAACTTGACTCTGACGTACAGCACTTCACAGTATAGAATCTCCTGACAACAAGGACTTCCACTTAACGAACCTCCGTGCCATGATCAAAGTCAGGAAATAGAGCATGGAGACGATATTAGTATCCCGTATACACAGTCCTCATTTGAATCTTGACAATTGGCCTAATAACATCCTTTATCGCAACCCTCTACCCTGGCCCTGGGCGCAGCCCAGGATCGTGGGGTGCACTTAGCACTTGAGCTCAGTCTGGGAACTACACGCTTAGCCGTGGTGAGGAGTCGTCCTGGCCCCGGCACTCTCGACACCATGTTCTTCTTCCTCATTCTGGGTTTCTCTTCTGGTTTCTGCTCAGCCCCTTTCACTTTGCACTTGAACTCCTCTGGGAGTAAGCGGAGGCTATTTCTCCCAGACATCCCATTGTTGGTAACCTTCCTGCTTGTGTTGCTGACCTCACATCGTGGACCCCACCAGGCCTGCGGAAAGAACGCAGGGTTTAGGAGTCAGGACTGGGCTCAGGGCACAGGAAGCACAGACCCTCATGGACCAATGGGGAACTCGAGCCCATAGGTTTGGCTCCAAGGTCTCAGCCAAGGTCAACAGCCTGGTGAAGAGGCAGCGGAGGGGAGGACCTCAAGGACTAATGGCTCTGAGTTCATGTCAGTCCTGCCTTTGCATCTACGTCCTGTGCGATGGTGTCCCTGAACTGTTCCGGGGCCAGAGGAGCTCTCTTCCCAAATAAGTCAGTTCACGAGAGAGCTTCGAGAGCACGGGGTCTGGCTGCGTCTGTCTCCTACATTCCCGTATCCCCAGCTCCTAAGATGAGCCCAGCATGGGATCGGTACCTGTCGATTTAATTGGCTAACACCAAGAAAACAGGTGCCTGAACCCGCATGCTCCGATCCTAATTTAAAGATGACCTTATGTACTTAGTAAAATCTAACTTGTTCTCTTTGCTATTTTGAAATTACTTTTACTAGTTCAGTGAAGGGGCCCATCCTTGGGGCAGAAGAGGCCTCTGGGAGCAGGTGCTCACTGGGTGGTGGCTGCCCCCGTGCCTGGGGCTTCAGCAGTGAGACCTCACTTGGTGCTGCCCACCTGTACCTCTAGGGCTCACCAGGCACCAGGAAGCTCTCGCCAGCTCTCCCCCTTCCCAGCCAGTGTTCTCGTCCCTTCTCGGCGGCTCCGTGTCCCTTTTCCGTGAAAGCTGGTGAGCTGGAATTCCACTGTCATCTCCTCCAGGCAGCGGGGAGCTAACCCCAAACCCACCCACTGGCAGGGCATGGAGCCGGTATCTGCTGGTGGCCAGGCTCTCTGCTGCTGGTCAAGGCAGGCCTGCGTAGCCAGAAGTGACAAAGCTCGGGGCTTTGGACTTGTTTGCTGGAAGCTCAGGGGGCATGCTGAGGACCGGGAGGCAGAAGTGCCGATTTCAAATCGCTGAGCACCTACTGGGCAGCCACCCCCGGTGTGATGGGCTCTTGGAGAATTCGGGGTCTGGCAAAGAGAACTTATGGCAGGAGAGAGGGGGTGACAGAGCAGGAGTCGGGAGAGGCCAGGGGCAGCCAGGCCCTGATGGGGGCAGGGGGAGGGGAGAGCGGACACAGTGCCCGGCACAGGCGCAGCCCAGGGCTGACCAGCACGCAGCTGTCCCGTTCTGTCCGCGCACAGGGCTTCTGGGGACCAAAGTCTGGAAAAGGGGCTGGGGAGGTGATTTGGGGCCAGGCTGGGAAAGCCTGCACGTGAAGCCGTGGAGTTTGGATTTTCTCTCTTAATTGCGGTTTCCCAAATGCCTAAGAATCACATGTCACCTTCACAACTCTGGCCAAGTTCTAAAAGGGAACTTTCTATCGGGCCATGTGCTGGGTTTAGCCAAAACGATTACCTGGACAGGGAAAGCCCTTGCAGGTAGTCAGGCCACCGGGGTGAGCCAGGAGCTGCAGTCAGTCATCATGAGCATCAGAACCAGAGCTGCAAACTTCACTAGCCCTGCAGGCCCCATGCACGGACGTGGCTTTTGGTCTTGCGCTCACCCTCTAGGAAGTGACCAGGCAATATTCTGTGCTGGGAGAGGAAAAACACCCCCTTCCAAAAGCATGACAGGCAGAAAGCAATGAGGGGCCTGGGCTTGCTGAGGGCGGGGCGGAGCGGTGGGGGTTGTGGGGGCTGAGCCTCTGGGATGGACACACCCTTGGGTCACGTTGTGAGGTTAGCTTGGTCATTGGGTCCCACCACTGCAATGACCAAAGCTGTGTTGGGCTCACACCAGTGAAGCAAGGCTCTCCCAGAGTCTGGGATTCCGAGAAGACCTTACACTTGGGCTCAAAGCAAGGATGCGTGAAATTGTGCACATTCAGATTGGCCAGTGCGGCAACCAGATTGGAGCCAAGGTAAGTCGAGTCTGATTACCAGTCCTAGCTTTGCCACGGTCTAGATGTGGCCAACTGAGAATATGCTCTAAGTTACCTGAGCAGACAGTAGCCCAGCAGATTTTATGCACTTGCTAAATATTTGACATATTGTTAAACATATCTTTAGTTAAAGAGATACAGGACACATTAAATAAAGGCTTAGAGGGTTAATTTAATTAATATTCATTTTGTCCATGGTTACATGTGTATAATATACATCAACCATTTTACTTTTATCATCTTAGCCATTAACTTTTCATGTCTAAAAACAGTAATTTGTCTCAAAACAGTTTTCTGAAGTTTGTTGGGGAACTTTTTATACCATATCACTAGTGTCTTTTCCCTCCCCTCTAATGTTTATAAAGTAAAAAAAAAAAAACAGGAGAAATAATTAAAATATACCCTTTTCTCTCCCGTACCCTCTTTCTCCACCCACTCCTTGGATTAGATTTTTCTACAAAGTACCTGACTCAATTGGCTAACACCAAGAAAACAGGTGACCAAACCGGCACTCTCTGATCCTAATTTTAAGATGACCAATTAATTGCACTTAGTAAAATCTAATTTGTTCTCTTTGCTGTTTTGAAATTACTTTTAACAGTATGAATTGCATTAAATGTAAGATTTTTAAAGCGCCTACATTCATCACCCTTTGATGACACGTGGGTTGTTTCTACCTTTTGGCTATTCTGAGTAATGCTGCTACGAAAAAACGACGGACTTTTAATGCAGGTGTTTTAAACCTGGGGCAAAGAATATTGCTGCTTGAAAAGAAGTCATCATTCCTCCATGCCACAGCGATCAGATGCTCATAACTAACACACACAGACGTGGCAGAGCCCCTGTCACTCTGAAATTGGGAGGATAATAAGGAGAGAGGCCCCGGAGACAGAGTGCGGGGTCTAGACAGCGTCTTAGCTCTCGCTTCAGAATCCTATCTGCTAGTGGCTAGAGCCCCGGTGACAACTTATTATTTGGGGCCATAAGAACATTAAGGCACATTTAATTTGGGGTATCACAGAACTTGAATTTATTTATTCTTCCACTCCCGGAACAGTGCTGATGGTTCACTATGAAATAGAGCCTTGTCATTAAGGCCATGGCCAGAGCAGATCCCGTCATTTACAAGATATGGTTGGGAAAACACCCTTGGGGACTTTAACATAATCGAACGTATTTTTATTACATTTTAATATGTGCTTTTCCAGGGTGATCAAAAGGACCCATCCCAGTAACTATTTCCATATTAAGAGCTTGGCACGTGCCGGGCATGGTGGCTCAGGCCTGTAATCCTAGCACTCTGGGAGGCCGAGGTGGGTGGATTGTTTGAGCTCAGGAGTCCGAGACCAGCCTGAGCAAGAGCAAGACCCCCGTCTCTACTAAAAAAAAAATATAAAGAAATTATCTGGACAACTAAAAATATACAGAAAAAATTAGCCAGGAGTGGTGGCACATGCCTGTAGTCCCAGCTACTCAGGAGGCTGAGGCAGTAGGATCGCTTGAGCCCAGGAGTTTGATGTTGCTGTGAGCTAGGATGATGCCACGGCACTCACTCTAGCCAGGGCAAGAGTGAGACTCTGTCTCAAAAAAAAAAAAAAAAAAAAAGAGCTTGGCATGTATCTGTATTAATATTGTATACGTGATTCCAAGTGCAGAGTGTTTCAGAGAGTTACAGTTGAATAGCTATGTGTAATTTTCAATTGTGTACATACCTGATCATCAAAAATGCACATTACTTACAATTGTGCATAGAGGCCTTAGTTATGGGCTTTTTGGAAAACTTCATGAAAAGAAATCCCCAAAGTGAAATGAGATATTATTGTCAAATCAGATAAGAATTCAGTTTATTTTCATTTAATGGAATCTACATTTTATTAGCCTGGAGCACAATAAGGTGAAATTAGAGATACATTGTCTGATGTGAAATTCTAAAACAATAGCTTTAATGTAAACAGCAGCCTCAATTTAATAGGAGCAAAATCTAATTTAATATTTTATGTGTCTGGCATTTTATTTGAGCAGTCCAGGTGGGTACAGAATGCAGTGCTCATATTCGTGCTTAGTAGAGGCAAAATGTGAATGAGGCTGTGGGGTGGCCACTCATGGAAAGGTCCAAAAAGCACCTCTAGCGGGAGGGGACAGGAAGCCCAAGGGAAATGGGCCGAGAGCACTAACTCTCTCTCTGGCGCCCATGCAGCCTTTTTCCGGGGCTGTCTACACTGGCTTCCCTTCTTTTGCTTACAGTTCTGGGAGGTGATTGGCGAGGAACACGGGATCGATGCGGCCGGGAGTGACCGGGGGGCCTCGCCCCTGCAGCTGGAGAGAATCAGCGTGTACTACAATGAGGCCTACGGTAGGCTGGCAGCAGTGGCCCAACGGCCAGGAACACGGGCAGAGAGAGAGCAAAGGCTCTGGAGACCGAAATGCCAGATGAGTGACAGCCAGGCTCTGGGCAGGCAGCAGGCCCCGAGTGGCGGGTCCCCAACCCTGGTCAAGAGGCAGGACTGGGGAAAAAGTCATTGAATGGGGCGCACATCTTAACACAAGCAGTTTAAGCACCTGCCTTCCTTTTTTGTTTTTAAATGAAAACCAGGATCATTTCCAAATAGGAAGGAACAGGATCTCTGTCATTGACAATACAACAAACAGAGCAGACAATGATGGGAAAAGTGTTTTTTAGGTATTTTGTAGATTTGTGTGATTATTATTGGGGTCAAATACAGGATGGGAGGTTTTCAAATCTCTGTCTACCAAAGACCCCTCTCTAGAATACCCATGGTTTGAGGTGGTTGTTTTTTTCTTGACCAGTATCAGAGGGCTCTATTTTGATGAAATATTAACTCTTACAAAACCAATAGCTTGCTGACTTCCCCCTATTTTTCTACACAGGTAAGAAATATGTGCCCCGAGCAGTCTTGGTGGACCTGGAACCTGGGACAATGGACAGCATTCGATCGAGCAGATTAGGAGCCCTCTTTCAACCGGACAGCTTTGTCCACGGTAAGTTTTCCAGAAGGTTCCCACAGGAAGAGAGAAGGATGCCTCCTAGTGGTGCCCTTGTCACCTTTCTGTCCCCCTGCTTGCTTTTTGCCACAGGGAACTCTGGGGCCGGCAACAACTGGGCGAAGGGCCACTACACCGAGGGCGCGGAGCTGCTGGAGAACGTGCTGGAGGTGGTGAGACAGGAGAGTGAGGGCTGCGACTGCCTGCAGGGCTTCCAGATCGTCCACTCCCTGGGCGGGGGCACGGGCTCCGGGATGGGCACCCTGCTTATGAACAAGATCAGGGAGGAGTACCCAGACCGGATCATGAACTCCTTCAGCGTCATGCCGTCCCCCAAGGTGTCAGACACGGTGGTGGAGCCCTACAACGCCGTGCTGTCCATCCACCAGCTGATTGAGAACGCAGACGCCTGCTTCTGCATCGACAACGAGGCCCTCTACGACATCTGCTTCCGCACCCTGAAGCTGACCACGCCCACCTACGGGGACCTCAACCACCTCGTGTCCCTCACCATGAGCGGGGTCACCACCTCACTGCGGTTCCCTGGCCAGCTCAATGCGGACCTGCGCAAGCTGGCGGTGAACATGGTCCCCTTCCCCCGCCTGCACTTCTTCATGCCCAGCTTTGCCCCGCTCACAGCCCAGGGCAGCCAGCAGTACCGTGCCCTCTCGGTGGCCGAGCTCACCCAGCAGATGTTTGATGCCCGCAACATCATGGCTGCCTGTGACCCGCGCCGTGGCCGCTACCTGACCGTGGCCTGCATCTTCCGGGGCAAGATGTCCACCAAGGAAGTGGACCAACAGCTGCTCTCTGTGCAGACCAGGCACAGCAGCTGCTTCGTGGAGTGGATTCCCAACAACGTCAAGGTGGCTGTCTGCGACATCCCCCCTCGGGGGCTGAGCATGGCGGCCACCTTTATCGGCAACAACACTGCCATCCAGGAGCTCTTCGGCAGGGTCTCTGGCCATTTCTCAGCCATGTTCAAAAGGAGAGCTTTTGTGCACTGGTACACCAGCGAAGGGATGGACATCAACGAATTTGGGGAAGCTGAAAGTAATATCCATGACTTGATCTCCGAGTACCAACAATTTCAAGATGCCAAAGCAGTTCTAGAGAATGAAGAGGTTGTGGAAGAGGCAGAGATGGGACTGGAAGATGAGAAACACTGACCATGAGAAGCTGTGTGGTGGGGTCGCTTACAGCACAGGTTCCCGCGGTGCTTTTCCCGCAGTACTCCAAAGCCTGTCTGCACGGCAGTGCAGTGAATAATACGCACTTAGCATCAGCTTGCCACAGGCACAGTGGGAGGGGGTGGGGGAAGCAGCTGATTGGCATTAGGGTCTTCTGCTTGACACTAACCTTGACGAGTTCGAATTCGATGCACACTCATTACCTTTTCCTTTTTAATAGTGACGTGAATTTACTGTCAAGCACTCCCTTTGTTTTAAAGTGTTTCCTGGGTATTTACTGTGTGCAGAACCCTGTGCCAGGCAGGCAGACCACACGTGTGGATTTGCAGGGGGCCACCACAGTTGACATTAATTTTTGAACTTTAACAGCACTGAAAAGTGCCCTGGAATCCTTACTTGGCATCCTGGGGCTGTCAGGACTCTTACCTTAGATTCTCTTGTCTTAACAAACACGGCCCAGCACCCTGCTGCCTTCCTGTGCTTGCCCGCCTCTGTGCAAGCAACTAGAGAGCGGGGGTGAGACAGCCACAGTAAACTTGCGTCAACATCCACTAGGAAACCGTGTAGCCCTTGTGTACAACTCAACACACTAACCAGAAAAGGAAAGAGGGGGAAAAGAAAAGTTAGTCAGTCCTCTCCACGAAAACACCTGGCTAAAAAATAAAAAAACAAAAAAACACAGAACTCCAGTCTTCTTACCTTCATTTCTGAATAGCTAGCTTTAGCATATATATTTTCATATTTTAAGTTTCATATTAGTGTTGATCCAGGAATTCATTAATAATCATCTTTGGTTTTCCTTTTAAAGGCTATTTTGAAATGCCCTTTCACTTTCATTCGGTAGTCACCCCTGAAAACGCTCTGCAGCCTCTTTGCTCTTTGAGAAAGGGCGCACTGGCTCGGCAACCATTCAAACGTAGGAATTAACAGCAACGGCTGCAGTGTCCTTCTTGGTTACGGAGGATGTCGTCTCACTAGGGAACTTTTACAGCTCAAATTAATTTGCAGAAGTTGCCATAAATGTTTGCATGATGACACAGCTTTAACGATTACATGATTTTAATCTGTTCACGTTACAACAGGACCAAATACACAGAAGCGTAATCAAATCACCCATAACTTCTTAATCACAGTTTACCTATTTCGGACACGCAGCACTGCCACCCCTCCCAACACCATAAGGGTCTTAATGGCCTTCTAGAATCACCACTGAGCTATACTATTTGATGTGTGGGTATCTAGTATGGGAAATGCTCTGGATCCGACCCTCACTGTAGGAAATTATTTACTTGCAGGCAACTACATTGTCATCTCCTGATTTGGTTTTGTAATCGGCAATAATAAAGCAGCAGGTAGATGGATGACAGTTGCTCATTCTGAGAAACTTCACTCTTTTCATGTATGCATCACAAGGAATTAACTAAAATATATACCAAGAGAAAACAGGCCTTGCTGTCGGTATCACTGACAAACCTTGTATTTACAAAATTAAAAAAACACAAAGCAAAAAAAATGTTTTAAACACTTTATGCTTGTGGTTCAAGAAGCACTGGATTTAGTAAGAAACTGCACCTATACACTTAGTTTGCTAAGTTAATAACTTCCCAAGATGCTAAAAAGACTTACAGCCTGTGCTTTTATAAGGACTTACAGGCATGCTTCCTCTGGCACTTCCCTTCTCAAACCTAAAAAGGCAATTAAATAGATATAAGGAAAGATAGATTTAAATCCTTAAAAAAAAACTTCTGCTGACTTATGTTACTGTAAAGATTTTTGTTTTTTCAATAGTAACCATTAAAGTACAAAAAAATTCAATTTTAAATGGCTAAATTGCTTTATTTCAGACTAAATAAATTCCTTTTCTTGGAGCCTAACAACCCAGACTGATTAATTTGAGTAGTTAAAAATATTTCCAAACCCATCTCACCATTCTACTCTTTCGTACGGTAGAAATAGATTAAAACAACAACAACAACAAACTAGAAACCAAGAGAAATCTGTCCCTTCTGATTTTGAAGAGCTTATTCCTTTAGCAGTATGGTTGCTACGGCGACATCGGTCTCTGGGTCTCGGAGACCGAGACGGCAGAATTACAGAATTTTAGAGTGCGTCTGATTCCTTCACTTCACACGCAAGCACTACATGAATGAAAAGATTAACTGACTCCCTCGAACAGCCCCAACTAGTTAGCAAAACACCCTTAAGTTGGTTTGATCAGGGTCCCCTCATCATGGGGCAGTTGTCCTGCCAGTTACCCAGTGTGAGGTTTATTTCATCAGAGTACTAGTTCAGGATTTTTTTTTTAATCATAGAAAAAGAGGCTCAAAGAATCTTTGCTGGACAGTAAATTTGTCTTTTATTGTTACTTTTATCCTTTCCATATCACAAGCCTTGTCCCTAAGTCTCACTTCTAATTATCTTATCTGCCTCCCAAGTAAGTGACTTATTTCTAATTACTTTGCTAGAAATAATTTAGCCCTTTGCCTGTTAGTTACTTTATTTGTCTGATATCAAAAAGGCCCTACAGCCTTGTGATTCATTTACTCCTGTCCCCTGTAATGGAAGATGCTTCCTAGTACCTTATCTTGGGGACCATAACACTGAACTGAGGTGCCTTAACTTCTGAACAGGAGGACGACAGCCCTGAGGCAAAGGACTCCAGGGGCTCCTAACCTGCTGTGGTCGGTATGGGCTCTCCCACTCAGTCTGCTGCTCCTCCTTCCAAGTCCTGTGCTGAGAATTCAATAAAACCTACAGGTCAAGTGTCGGGGCAGTAAGTCATCCCCAGAGGCCGAGAACAAAGACATTTTCTTCAGTATGTCCTCGGCATTGCCGAGAGTGGCCCTGATAAATTGCTGTGAGTTTAATAAGTACCATGGGGAGCACTGGTTCTAGAACTGTGTTTCAAAATTTCCTGTTTAGAGCTTTTACTCCATTCTCCAAAAACAGTTAAAATCAAGCAGTTAAATTTGCAATGCTGTTTACTTGGCCAAGTGTTTCCAAGTTTCGAAGAAAAATAAAAACAAAAACTTGTAACAATTCTTCATCCCTAAAAACTTAATGAATGAATGAATCACCACACAAACACCATGGAACTGCTATAATCATCATGCTCCAGACCTGCGTCAAGAATCTTAGATTTTTATTTCGGCTTGGCCATCAACTCAATAAGCAAGTTACTGAATAGCTTTGCCTCATTTCCTATGAGAAATGCTACCCAATATAGATTCATTTATAAAATAATGTGAAAAGCATTTTGTGCTTAAATTCTAACATTAATAGCTCTTCTCTATAGGTTTTAAGTGCATAATAAAAATGAGCACTACAATTTGTTCTAATCCATGCTTTTAGTAATTATTTTCATTTAGGATACTGGCTAAGCAGCACTGCTGCCTAGACAAAAGGATGAAGCCGGTGGATAATGACCAATTCACTACTCTGACATGACTCTGCAATTCAAAGATACGGGATGACAGAGCCTCAATGACAGTGTCTAATTTTGATCACCAATTAATGTCATGAAAAACAACTTTCCATTTTGAGATATTTTCAAAATGTTTTGTCTCCCGTTGGTCCCTAAATATTAAATCTGTCTTCCCCCCTTTTAAGAAAACTTGGTCATAATCATGCAGTTGTGCAGACAGTTCCTCTAAAGAAAAAGTCTGATGGAAACTAAAAAACAATAGTAAGAGTGAACCATACTTCAATTTATTGGCATTGTCAATTTATGAACAAGACAGTGTATTTTTTCCATGAAGTGAGATCGTTTTCAATCTGCCATAACATGAGCCCACACATCTTCACCTTGGAAATGTGGCATTTCAAGCAGGGTCTAGGAGCAAAAAAGAAAATGCAACAGTTGCTAGCTAGTTCTTTGTGTTTTTTAAAAAAGCCAACATGAATGTGACAAACAACTTCCATATAGTGAACTGCGTAACAGAACTGTGGCTTTAATTCACATGGCCGGTGTCAGTCCTGATGTAAAAAAGTGTTGGTTCAAGTGCACAGCCTTAGCCGAACAGGCACTTCCCTAAGTAAAATTAAATACTCTAACAATAAAGAAGATACTTTGCCTTTAAAAGAAATCTCCCTGTGCTAATGGGGTGGGGTCTCTATCCCTGCAGGACGTAACAGAGAGGGGCCAAAACTTTGTTTACAGGGGTTGAACATACTTCCTGACCCCAAGGACACAGCAAAGTCACAGAGTTAGATGCAGAGCCTGGCTCAGCTCCGTTGCAGAGAGGCTAAGTGATTTTCTCAGCTCATTGTTAAAACAAAACAACCCAACATAAAACCAGGTCTCATTACTCAGAATTATGAGATTAGACAGAGAGCCCCTAGAAAAAGGGCTAAATTCAAAATACCACATTTCTAGACTTGTAATAAAATATTTACTAATTCAAAATGAAAATGAAAAGTGCTTAGGGGAGACAGTTCCAATAAGTAAAATTGCTCATAACCACAAGCTGCCAAAGGATTAATATTTATCACGTTTCTGTGCTACTGCAGGTCTGAAGCTTTTTTAAAGCAAAACAAGAAAATTAAATCTGAAAAACATCTCTCAGATAATTTGCCTTGCTTATCTTTGAAATAACAATGTCAAGAAAAGTAGTTTAGGGATCAAATCACTTTTGTAGTTTGCAGCACCCAAGTCTGAAATTATCAACTGTACAAAACTGTCTTTTCATTACATGAGAATGCAACTTTACATCACTATCATCTTTGGAGAAGTAAAATGAACCAAACCCTCTGAAAGCATAATAAATTTAGCAAAACAGTATTCACCGCAGGATCTTGCAAGATTTTATTGCTTGATAAAATAGCAGGACCCTTGCCTGTACTTGTAGCCCTTATGTTCAAGAAGCAGTGATTTGTGAGAACATTAGCAGATGTGGGGGAAATAAAAACGAAAAGGACTGTAATTTTTCATGCTCCTGAACTGTTATGTAACTCCAACAGCAATTACAAAAGTGGGGAGTTTATCCTCCAAGTTATTTGATTCTGTTTAGAGAGATGAAACAGGTTTAATTAAAATAAGATGGTTCTCTACCTGAGCATTGCCAAATGAACTGAAAATCAATGCGCCAATTACTTGTGCTTGTCAGGGCCGAAAGGACATTCTTTTATTATGCCATGGGACTTCCACAACCTGTATGCTTTAAATTATTATCCCACTAACTTACTTCTAAATGCACTGATTGAACGAAAAATGGACAGAACTCAAAACTAAAATGACTTTAATCTTTATGGTGTTCTAAAAATTTTAGATGCAACTCTTCTTCTGAATAAATCAGTAACTTACAGATCATTCCTTTTTCACTTTCACAATTTTTACGCTGCTGCCAGAAGTCTTCTCGGCACTTGCTTTGAATTCTGCCTTCAGTGCATCTCTCACTGCTTTTGCACAGATCTGGGAGTATCGGATGTAGCTGGGAGAAAATGAAAGGAGAGGAAGTTAATTACCAGTAATCCAGCCAGACGGTTGTGTTACTGTGCTTTTATTTTTCTTCCTATACTTTTAATTTTGGTTTGGTTGTACAGTATTGCAGAGCTGGATTTAAAAATGACTAATGTCAAAAGGAATCTATACAAAGAAAAAGAACACTAGAAAGAAATGTACCAAAGTATTAATTAGTGTTTGGATAAGTGATCTTTTGCTTCTTTGTATCGTGTTTTCTCTCTTTACCGTATATTAACATAAGAGATGCATGAATGTTTATAAAAATCCCAGAGCAAAGGAAAGAAAATAGACTAAAATGTTAGGGACTATAATAGGAATGGTTTTCCTCCCATTTCTATACTTAAAACTTTTCTTTAATTATATTTTTCTTGCAAGGTAAAGTATATATAAGCAAAAGAGAAAAAACTACCATGAATTAAAACAGTTCTTTCTCTGATAAATTATTTATAGGTTTTCCTGAGAATATTGGATTCTGTCTCACAAGTCTGCCATTGAAAATACTTCCTAATCAAGGTTTCTAAATTAAACTGAAAAGTCCTTAGAGAACATCATCAATTCTAGCAAAATTTAAAACCTGCTTTCCTGTTTGGTAGACGGACTCCCATCAACATCTTATTTTCCAAAAGATGTCAGAACACTTCACACTTTTGGAAAACAGGAAAGGAGAGGGTGCTGTCTATTTTCTCATGTTTTAGAATCTATTTTTGGGAGTCACAGGTAAGAGCTCTAATGCCTGCTTCCACTCTTACTAGGTGAGTGACCTTCAGGCTGTTCAATCTTTTCAGCTTGTTTATTCACCTGCAGAAAAAAATAGAATAAAAGGATAATAATACTTGCATTGCTGGTATTTGGGAGGAGGAAAGACAAAGTGTGAAAATGCATGGACCACGAAGTAAGTTACTTAATAAATACTATCTACTCCTGGGACTACTATCCTTCCAATTCTACAAAACTTTGCTTGAGGCTGGGCGAAGTGGCTCACGCCTGTAATCCTCGCACTCTGGGAGGCAGAGGCGGGCAGATTGTTTGAGCTCAGGAGTTCGAGACCAGCCTGAGCAAGAGCGAGACCCCATCTCTACTAAAAATAGAAAGAAGTTAATCAGACAACTAAAAATATATAGAAAAAATTAGCCAGGCATGGTGGCGCATGCCTGTAGTCCCAGCTACTCGGGAGGCTGAGGCAGAAAAATTGCTTGATGCTTGAGCCCAGGAGTTTGAGGTTGCTGTGAGCTAGGATGATGCCACGGCACTCACTCTAGCCCGGGCAACAGAGTGAGGCTCTGTCTCAAAAACAAAAAAACAAAAAAACTTTGCTTGACCTCTGCAAGTCAGGAAACTCTTGAGTCGCTCAGTTGTGGTAGGTAGTCATATATGCCCATAAAATGACACCACTGGAAGCTGTTACTCCATCTAGTCAACTTTTGCTCAATTCAGGTGTGAAGGCAAAGTAATGAGGTGTGATACCCAGACCATTACACTAAACACGTCCTCAAACGGGTTCCACACTTGCTCCCCAAGAGCCACCGCTCACCTTTGTGAATAGTTCTCTACAGCTTACCAGGGGCTTTCATCCCTTCACCCTTTTTACTGAGAAGGAAACTTGAGGTCAACATGTGCGGCTTAAAATAAAAAAATCCCATAACATAAACGACTACACCTCGATGCTGGAAAGAAAGACCAAAAATGCTAACAGCGGTTGTATCAAGAGAAATCTCCCCGCCCCTTCTATTTCCCAAGCTTTAGGTAACTATACTACTTTGAGAACATAAATCAATCATACTTCTCAAAGAAAAAGCACTTCCTCAACTAAGAATTGCTCTTCTTGGGCATTCCCACGTTCACCCGAGGTGTTTCAGGCACATGCTGTGGGAGGCTCCGCTGCCCACTTCACACCCTGCCTCGTGCCCCGCGCCTCGGGAACCTGGCGCCTGCCCGCGTGTTGTCCACAGCGACGCCATCTTGGGGCGGCTGCGCCCGAGGCCCGGCCCACCCCGTGGACCCCGCAGGCCCCGGTCACGCGCGGGCCGCTGCCCCCTGCCATGCCCGGCCTGATCTCCCGACACCGGGCTGCGCCTAGGCTGCGCTCCCGGTGCCCTTCCCTCCGGTGGCTTGGGCCTACCTAAGTCCGGCCTGGCGCCAGTAAGACACCATGATGTCGCGAGAGTCCAGCGGGTCGGGCCGAATCGCGAGGACACCGTCAATGTCGGCTCGGCTCAGCAGGGTGGCCCAGCACAGGAAGGTCAGGCCCAAGAAACGGAAGGGGCGGGGCGCACGGCCCTGCCAATCACCGCCTTTTACCCCGCCCCGCCCTCCCGCACGGCCCCTGCTACCCTGCCGTGGAAGCCCCCAGGCGCTGGGAACCAATGGGTGCCCGCGGCCCGGGCCGCAGGTGCCAATCCCCAGGCAGGACGGCCGGCTGCGTCTGCCAATTGGCTCCGCGACCGCCCCCCCCGGCTTCCGTAGTTACCCCGGCGGGGGCCACCGGGGCAATAGGGCTTGGGGGCCTCCCCCGCCCCGTCCCGCTGCCGAGGTGCGGAGCGCGTGTTTCGGGAGGGCGAGGACGCGGCGCGGGCACGGCCGCCGCGGAGGGCCCATGTTTGCGCCCGCTGTAGGGAAACGGCGCCGTTTTTTTTTTTTTTTTTCGTGGACAGACAACCGAGTCCTAGAGTTGCGATTCGAAAACCACTAAGCACCGCACTTTTCCTCGAGTTACATTAGAAACCAAAGCAGAACCTCAGCGGACAAGCATGCCCGTTCCCCGACATTTTCCGTAGTTTTAGGACATGGCCTATGTTGTGCGACAAGACGATAGCGGCCGGGGAGGGAGAGGGAAAAGAAACGTGCAGGGAAAACGGGCGGGAGGCAGGGGAGCGACCAAGCCCGCGGGGAAAAAGCCCCGTCGCAGCGCCTCTGATTTAGAGAACACGACTGACCTTGGTAGCAGTTAAAGTGTTTGCTCATAAGGAAGAAAAGTTTTTGCTCTTCTCCTTTATTAAAAAGAAATTATAATCAGGAAAAACATTATAGTTAAAAGAAAGTTTTATTAAGAAGGTTTTTCTTAATTCATGTAAGTTCATTTTTAATATTAAATAGGGTTAGATGTTCAGTAGTCCAAGTTTCATTTATGAATACTTTATTCCAGTTTAGTCCTCTTAAATGCATTTGCTTACTGTGTATTTATATTTTAACAGGTAAAAGCTATGAATTACCAGCTCTTTAGAGAGAGATAATTAACTACATTGGAAAATAAAAATTTATAGAATTTTCTCATTAGATCGGAGTTTAAAAAAATCAAACGAAGGATTACGATTTGCTTAAAAATCTTTTATCATTATGGCATTACACCTTTTCCAGAACAAGTATAATTTACAGAAATTATACAAGGCAACCTTTTATCAAATATCAATATTTAGAATGTTTTGTTTCGCTGAAATGTTATTTCAGTTGTAAAAACCATCTCTGGTTACAAAAAAAATATCAAACTTTATCGGATTTAACCTGTTTTTACAAATGTCCTAGGAAACCTTAAGCTGAATATTTTAAGTAGAAAAACAGTAATTTTAGAACAGTTTTGTTATACTACTTCTGTGGTTTATGCACATGTTAACTGGTCTCTTTTATAGGAAATCTTACTAGTTTATCCCACTAAGCACTGTAAAATAAAGGCAAGAGCTAATCACCTTTTAACAAAAATACTCCGTATGCAACAAATGCACATATCAAAGACGTTACTTAGTGGTTGATCATTGCCTCCTACAAAATATGAAACAAAGTACATTTACTGGATTGTTTTTCAGTTTGCAGCTGCCCTCTGGCATCCAAAATAAGCATTTCCCATAAATAAAAGCTGTAGTGCAATTCACTAAGTGGTTAGTTTAGGCCAATCCTCCCCCCACCCAATTATTCTTTGTTCTTCCTCACCGCCCCCACCTCTCACAGTGGCACCGTATTATTAAAAACATTAAGTACCTGGGGTTTATGCTTCAGATCAAGACATCACTTGAGTAATTTCGAATGATGTACAGCTCTTCATGTAAAAAAGATGTTTTGTGGTCACAATTACTTCAAAAAGTAATTATATTCAAATAACCTGACATATCATGCCTTAGCAATTACAAAACCATGATTTTGACACATGGCAATTTATAAGTTAGGCAAATGTGAATTGCTAAAAGATGTGAACAGCTGTTCTTCTGTTTAAGTTTAGAGTGCTGCAAAACTCAGGTAATGACTTTTATTTTTTCAGTTAACACAACCAGCCCCCAGCACAGCATACTAAATAAATCACAAAGTACGAATCCAAGGAAGGTAATACCTACTAAGTCACAAAACTTTGGCAAATCAATACAGTACTCTTTAATACAATAAAATTTTATTTTTGTTGGAGTCATATATTACTTTAGAGGTAATTTTCACTCCAAAAATATTTAAGTACAAAACCAAAACACTGGTTTTTAATGGTGGTTTATAGCAGAGCAAGTTATTTTATACAAATTAATATCTTTTAAAAGTATATAATTTCTCCTTTTAAGGTGAGTTCTCTCATGCAAGCTGTTGAAGTTACAGCAGCAGAGCAATCTTGTGTAAGAGGTGGCTCTGCTTTCTTCTGGGGTTGGTCCAAAGCCAGGTAGAGTTCCAATGCATGAAAAGCTTTAAAATTCTACCTTAAGGAAATTCAATGTCAATACCAATTTCCAAGTACTTTTAAGAAAACTTAAATTTTCATATAAATACTGGAAACCTTAAAACTAGACAGCCATTTCAAACAACACTAATTTCAGATGATCCCTTTTATTTAGAAGCCCTGTATCTCTGTTTTGATCAAAAGTCAGTTAGCCTTAAATCAGCTTATTAAAAAAAAATTCTACCTAAAATATAGTTGTATTTTTTAAATAACAAATAAATATATTGCCAGCTTGGAGAGACCTGGGGGACCCAACGTTGTCTGCCAACTTGTAGTATCATTTTTCTACAAATGCTGCTGCCGCCATTGGAGTCCTTATGCTTCCTCTTGCTGAAGCTGTCAGTTCTTCAATCTCGGCATTTAATTTATGTATTACCCATTCCATTGCTTCTCGGCCCTTAAAAAAATCCAATACATTTACTGTTACTGAGTAAGAGCAAAGGCATGTATCAAACAAATGGCACACCAGCAAGTAATAAGGAGTGTTATAAGTACAGCTAAACCTTACAATGACAGATCATTTTTGTTCTTGCTTTTTCTTTTCTAATGTTATTTAGCAAACATCAAATGCCTTGAGCAACTGGCTTGATCCATAAACTGATTTTTATTTTGTATGCAAAAGATGTTCTCAAAAGAATCTACAATTGAATGATGGGATGTCTTATTTCATGATTAGAATGGTCTCCTTTTTGGGAGTAAGAAGATCAAATCTCTTTTCATGTCTACAATTTAAACCAAAATCTTGTACTAGGCCCAGCAGGATCTGATCCCTGACTCACCCTTTGCCCCTTCTCCTTTGGTGCTCTATGTAGTTCCTTGAGGAACAGAAGGAAGAACATTTGGTACTTCCTGTCTCAGGGTCTTTGCATATGCAGCTCTTCCATTCAAAATGCCCTTCCTGGCATAACCCTCACAACCAACCCACTCCTATTTGGAACTCCACAGAAATATCCCTCACTAAATGCTAATTAAGCACTCTCATACCTTTCTGTACCTTTCCTTTCCTAATGACATGCTGTGTGATTGTCACCTTCCTCTTATTTCCACAAGGGCAGGGGCCACAGTTGTTTTGCTCCTCACTGCATCCCTCATCTAGCCTAGCACTCTCTGCCTGGCAGAGAAGGCATCTACGAATATCTTTGACTGATGAATGACAATAAACCTATGTTATAAAACAATGCATTAGGCATCTCTTTTTCTAAACTTACTTTGTTTTAAATCATGCATTCTCAATGGGGTGATTCTCAATGGGGCAAAAATTGGTTCTTCAGGGGATAGAAAAAAAACTCATATATATAAAGCACATATATACATGTATGTAATATCAGATAATTTCATGGAGGTAGTGATTGGGAAACAAATGTCTAAAATGGACTTGGAGGGAGACAATAATGAAACAAGTTTGAAAAACTGTGCTTTAAACAATGACACACAGCTACACATCGAGCATCCCACATGCTGGGTCCCAGACTATACTTCCCATGTTATCTCATTTATTTCAAGCCATGATGGGTATTCTCCACTTCACAGATGGGAAACTGAGGTTTACAGACAGGTTAACTTAATTGCCCAACATTGAAAGGCTGGAAAGGTTAGAGCTTGGATGTGAACCCAGGTGTCCTGGACTGCAGTGCCTGGGCAAGTAGCTGCCTAACGCTGTATGGTGTCTCACTGAGGAGTGGCTGAGAGTCAGCTTACAAGAACAAACACACATTCAGCACCAAGCTCTTCCAGGAAATGAACCCAGGGAATAAAAAACAATTAAGCAGCGGCCTTACTTACTTTATTAGCATTTGAAGATATGGTACTTGCCATCAGTCCTTCAAGGTAACTGCTAAGGCTGACTCCTTTCACAGTGATAATGGCTTCTTGAGTCAAAATAGTTCTGGAACAAAACACATTTACACCATTCGGATCACCCAACTTTCATTAGAAAAAAAAATTGGATAAAAAAAATTTAAAGTGCCCTGTAAAGTAAGTTTGTTAAAATACTTTTTACTCACTTTTCTGGGTCCTGAGGATGTGGTTTGTAGATAAGTCTCTCATCTACTGAAACCATATTTGTAAATGAAATCTATAGAATGGAAAAAAAAAATGTCAAATTATTTTGGAAAAGACAATTCAAACATTTCCAAAATTAACACACAACTGAAAATCTTACTAAACATAAAACACAACAAAAGACAACTAATAAGCCACTGATATTTCTGCATAAATGTAACAAATTTCACTGTTCATCACCTTTTTATTTAAAAAAAAAAAAAAACTTGAGAAAGGTATAATGATGATAAGCACATGATCCCAAATTCATTTGAGTGCTATCCCCTAGGGACAGGCAGGATCATTAGCAGAGTAAGGCTAAGGAAGCTACCAATAGGGCAAAGACATACAGCACATACGTAGGGGTTTTCTAAACCATGTTGAGAACACACATTCACTTATGTATCAACTATGAGAGACAAAAAACTAAGCCAGACAATAAAATTAAAAAAGGGAGCCAGAACTTACATTAGTAGATTTAAGTTCCATTGTTTTCTCTACAGGATCAACTACAGAATGTTCTTGCACATATGTTTTGGTTCTTGCTGCACCAATAAGCTAAGTAAAACATTCAGAATTAGTAATCAGAGGAGGAAGAATTTCTTACCAAGTATATCAATATTTTATTTGAAGGTAAAAATGTGTTACAATATCTTGAACCAAAAATCTGTTTCATGAAAAACAGGAAGAAACACATAAAGGTCAAAAAGGAGGCCTATTCAACACATCGTGGATGAGCTAAGACTGCCAGACACAAAAACATTTCCCAGAGGCAGTGAGGAACCAGCCCACTGAGAATGTGTGCAATAGAAGGCACCACACGGAAATTTCCAAGGCGCAACAATGGAACACTGAGGCTGAAATATGGAAATCAGAAGATTTAGGGGAAAGGTGGCATCTAGGAAAAGTAAAGCTCAGGGTATCTGTTAATATCTTCCTAGAGCAGTCCAAGGGAGAGGGCACCAGGGCTTCCTTCTCCAGGCAGAAAAACAGCCTTCTCACTGTGGAGGCTCCTCTATCAGCATCCAGTGTCACTGCCTGTGCTACGACCCCAAGCCTATGACCAATCTCGCTCACTTCTTCGTCCCCATTATCTAATGTCACAGTTTGTATAAAGGAGGCAATTAGTACATTCCTGTTGAAAATTGTGTACTTTAATTTTTAGAGTAGACCGACTTTCTATAAAAAGACCCTCTACAAAAACCTGGATCCACTTATATACTAGAGTTTTCTCACATCATGACACACTGGCATTCTAGTTTCTTGTTCGTTGTATCGGTTCACTAAAGCCTGTTCATTTATAACTGAATAGAATTGTTTCTAATGTACAGAAAGGAGTACCGGACCTTGGAACAAATGTGGCAATACCAAGTCTGAGAATATACCCTGTATCTAATACGGTCAACCCACCACTGACCACAGCAACTGCATGATCAGACCATTACTTCTAAATCTTATTATTGGTCTCAAGTTGCTGGCAAAAGCAGGAAAAGCAGAATATAATTCCTTTTAGATTACAGAGCATTAGCTGGCTTCCTTCAGATTTTATCGGGTGCCTTCATGAAGACTGTAATAATATTTCCAATTCATTATACACTCATAACTCAAGTTTATTATAATACAATTTGAACTGATGCAAAAGTGACATTCAGAATTGGCTCCCACAACCTATTTGAAATTATAATGTGGTTTAGAAAACTTCTCTACAGCAGTCACATTTCTCTTGGAATAAAGACACACTTACAGTCTTCACAATGGAAGGCAGTCCCCACTCTGTGCTGAGAAGTCTATGGCTGTGCAACTTTCCAGAGGGATCTATATGTCTGTCCAACACATCAACTCCAACCACACTCGGGTTCATAGGGTTTGGGTATTTCTGCATTGCAGCTGTGGTAACAGTTTCCCAAGGATGGCTGCCAAAATGAACCAAAAATCAAACATTAAAAAATATGCATAAGAATTAAACAATTTTATAACCCATCAAATCATTCTTTACAATGGAAGTTTAATTAGTTTACCTAGGGAAAATTACTTTCTGAAACACTGATGCTTAGGAAGGACTGATCTACATTTTTAATGTGTATAGACTTTGGTATTGTTCAGAAAAACAATACCAAAAAAACTGACTCCAATTCTATGAAGTTATAAAGAAGTAACAAAAGTAAGAGAACTTACAGGCACTGTAAATTCTCATGGGTATTACTGAAAGAGCCAAAGCATTATTGACAATTATTGAAATTTTTCTCTATATTAATATAGTAAGTAACAGCGGCCCCTCCAGTCAATCTTTATCCACTGTTTTTCTCAAAGGAACGATTCTGATTTCTGTTTTGAAAAGGTCATTCAATACAATAAAATGTTCTTAAGGCACTCCTAATATGCTATTTTCTAATATTCTCTTTTAATATAATAAGCATTTGCTTATCACCTAAGATTGAAGTGGTAATAATATCGCATCATTTGAGCTTGCAGCATCTTTATTTTCTTGAAAAAGCACATGTGCTTGAGTGATTCAAAATGTGACGTACATTTGTTCACTTCACAACTCCTATGAATAAGCTGCTTGTACAAAAGCTATCCTTTTCAAAAGAACCCTTATTAAGTACAATCAGTATTAAAGGTGATTTAGTCACCTGCAGTCTGAGTCTAAACCCTTTTACACTATTTATCTGTGCTCTCGTCTTCATTGAAAGGAAAAAAACAAGATCTGGAGATGATGTTTCAAGCTACATTGATAAACCACACAGCATTACTTTCTGTTTTTCTAAAAGCAAAAACAGGTAGACATTCATCGTTTTCAACTTTTCAGAGAACTCAGACTGACAACCACATCTTGTCAACAGAAGGGAAATCTCAACTCCATTAATTTCCCAGAACCCTGGACAACCAGTGACATCATTTTTAATGTTTTCACTTTCTTTATAATATTGTATAAATGAACTTCATTTTGTTTTTAATCTCAAGCCTCATTCAGCAATTGATGCAGGTATATAAACAGAGCTGTTTCACAAATCTAAACAGTCCACACAAATAGAAGTGATACAGGCCAAGCATTCTGATTGTTACCAAGGCAACTATCTAAAATGAAAATCAGATGAACCCTTTCCTTGTCTCTATCTAGTTATATACCATGGTTAGCTGGCTTCCATGCACTTATCTCTCCCCCTTACCCTCTCTAAAAAATTAATAATTGCATGGCTTCAGGGTGGTTATGCACTATTTGTAATTTAGTCCATCTCTCCTCTCTGAGCCAATCTGAAAACACTGATGTTGACTTTGTTGGCCTAACACTGCTTTATGAAACAACTAGCTCAGAGAATACATATTACGATTAAGTCTTCCAGTAATTAATTTTAACTGTATTAACATAATTATATTGGGCATCCTTATATACTGAAAGAAACAATAAATGATTTCAGCTGGATGCCAAGGATACGCTGGGCCTCACAAGGAAGTGTTGGAAAAATCAAAGATGGGTAAGATGTAGAATGATGACTTGGCTATTGTTGTTAGAGAGTAACATCTTGAAGACGGAAAACACAAAAAATATTAAGATTTCTGAGAGGGAAACTATGACTTCAATTTCACATCGGGTGAGTTGGAAGAGCCTCTCAGTGGGTAGTGCTATCCAGTAGGCACCTGAAAATAAGAATTGAAGTTCAAGAGAGGAGAGTGCTCAAGTTATAGACTTGAGTGCTATAAATGTGTACATATCACTCGAGACCTCGACTGAATAGCCCAGATTACCTGGGCACAGAGCATAGATCAGGGCTGAATCCCCTAGGACACGTACAACATTTATTTGAATATGTCTATCTTCTAGGAAGAAGGTCCCAGAGCTTTCATCAAATCTCAAAGAAGTCTGTGACAAAAAGAGAAAAAAAGAGATTAAGATCACAGATGGAACCTAACATAGGAAGACCAACAACAGCATCTCATCAAACATTTACACTGAAAGGGAAAAAGGGGAATGTTAAAGAGAAAGACAGAAAGACAGAAAGAGTGGAGAGGGGAGTAGGTGACAAACCAGAGAGAAGAGTGTTAAGGAAGACAAGGCAGAAGGGAGGTCTAAGGAGACTCAGTGCCAAGAACTTCTGAAGCATTCAAACCTGCAAGAGGACTGCAATTAAGCATTCCAGGCGCTGAAATGGGCTAGTTTACAATGTACTAAGTTAAAGAACATCAGAAAGAGTACAAATTTAGGGTCTTCACCCGCCTCCCCCCAGACTGTAAACAGTAAGGAGAAAAGAAAATTTCCTTCTGATTCTAATACTCTGTATTGTATAGGATACAGTGGCCCCATGGATGTGTCATAGGTACAAATGTTGGCAACTTCTTTTAAAACTGCCCTCAGAAACACTTTTTAAACCTCAAATGGCTAAACTAAAATATTTATCACAAAGCTATGATAATTAAAACAGTGTGGCACAACAGCAAGATCACTGGAATACAGAGAGGTAACTTAGAAATCGATTCAAATATAAATACAGCCGTGTTTGGCAAAGGTGGCATTTCAAATTAGTGAGAAGAACACGGATTAATTATTAATTAATTAATTACTTATTTAGGCTAAAAAGGATATAGCTGCTTATATTCGTGGTTCTTCTGTGTTATACATTGAATCACAGAACCGGGAGAGAATTCCCAACATCCATGCGGTAAGGCCTATTTTAGTTACTAAAAATTTCACACTAACCAAAAAGATGTCAGTGACCGTGGCCTCAGAGATATCTCACACTGGCGGGCCCTGACGATACCACCACCTTCCATGTATAAGACAAAAATGGGTAACCCAAGGTCACAAACTTAGTTGCAGCCAGAGCTAGACCTCGGACTTCAAATCCAACGCTCTGTTCCTCAGGTCAGCGAGTCGTCGGAAAGGTTTCGCGTCCTGGTGGCCAGAGTTCACCCGAAATTTACATTCACAGGGAGGAAACTCCACCCAACGACGGCCAGGACACCGAGACTCTAGAGAAAACGCAGGCCTCCCTCTCGGGATCCTTGCGTCCCCGTCCCACAGGGTTTAGCAAGGCTGGTTGTAGCAGCACGAGTGCTGTCAAAGACCTCGTGCTCATGCTCTGCGCGACGCCCCCACAACCTCGGGAGGCCGGCTCCCGGCGGGGGGGGGGGTGGAGACAGGCCGGAAGTAGCCCTGGCTCTAGCCACGCTCCCGGCCGGACGGCGGCCTGGAGGTCCCGTGCCGCCTTCATGGCTCGGGCGCCCTGGGGTTGTGACCTTGGGTCCCACCACCATCCCCCCAGGAGCCTGTAGGCCTCAGGCTTCTCTCTCCTGACTAGGCCCGACGCCTCGAAGCTTCCTGAGGGTCGCCTCTGCCTCGCCACGACGCCAGGCCCAACTCGCCCGCCCGGCCCGGAGTTGCCCGACACCCCAAACTTACTCAAAGACATGCTCCGAAGTCCAGATCTTCATGGTGCGAGCGGCCCGCGCGATATCCGGGCGGCGCTAAGGGACAATGAGGCAAAGAGGCTACACCTGCCCCCGCCCCACTCCCAGCACCCCGGCGCCCCGGCCGGCCGCGCAGCGCGCAGGCGCCGTCGAGCCCTACGCGGGGGACGTCCCGACGCGCTGCCCCACGCCCTATCCCGGCCGGGGTTTTGCCCCAGCCTTGCGCGCAGCGCAACGCGACCCCGCCTCTTAGCGCCGGGCGCACCGCGCCGGCGCAGTGCAGGGGCAGCGCCAGGCGGCCGGCGCGGGCGCAGAACTGCGCAGGCGCAAGCCCGCAGGCGCCCAGACCCCTGGGCGGAGGCGGGAGAGGTTCGGGCAGACCCGAGGACCCCGGCCCAGCCAGTCCTTTCGTCCTGGCGTTGCGAGGCCTGTGGACGGATCCCGTCAGCCCCCTAGCACGGGCAGGTCGTGTGGTGTTCACTGGAGCAAACTTGCCAGTTGTCCCCTTACAAAATTCCGCCTGCCCCCTGCCCAACCCAGGCTGTGTCAGGTCCACAGTCAGCTACGTAACTGGTCAGTGGCCTCTGTGGGCCTGCCACCGGCCCTCCAAGAGCTGGTGACCCCCGCGGGATGAGTCGTGGCCTGGGAGAAGCCAACGTCGGACAGGATAGCGGGGCTAATGGCTAGGGGCCCCGGGTGTGAGCGTCCCCGAGTTCAGAGGATGGGTCTCAGCTCAAATGTCGCCTCCTGGAGAGGCCTGCCCTCCTCACCCTTCCTCAGCAGGTCCTCCAACCTTAGTTGCTCCATCTCAGCATCCTGTTGCATCTTTCTTAGCACTTGTCACTCTGAGTTCATCTTGTTTATTTATTCGTTATCACTTCCACTGGAATTGAGTCCTTGAAGGCAAGGATCTTGCCTGTCCTGCTCAATGATGGTTCTCAATGTCTTCTATATAGTAAAGGCTCAATGATGCCTTACTGACAAATGAAATAATTGATAATTATTTGTGGAATGGATGAATTAATGAAATCTGGTTCAACCGTTTAACTTCCTCTGGACTGAGAGCCTTTGAGGGCGAGGCTCTTGCCATACTTGTTCAAGGATCCCTCTGAACCCACATACTTATGTGTTGCATAAACGAGTGAATGAGTAAGAAGTGAGGGGCAGGAGGGGATGGTATGCGGTTTCCTTCAGAGATGAGCCTTGTCCAGAGCACAACCTGCCTGGCTTAGGTTTCAGGGTAAGGCTTTCCACCTTGCTCCCCTGCACTCTCCACAACCTTGTACCTCCTGACAGACCATTAAATAGTTGCCATTTTGAATGATGGCTATGGAGGAAAATCTTTACATCTAGTTACTCAGAAACTAGTTAGAAGTACTGCCTCATTCTTGCTTTTAGGTTGTTTGATTGTTAAAAACAAATAAAAGCCTAGTTAATTTAGGAAGGAGGATAATTTTTTAAAATAGCCAAAGTCTTTTATGTAAAAAAACAGAAAAATTACATTAGACAAGAAGGAAATAATATGGTTGGGTAGTTGCTAAGTGCAATTTGTGGTACCTGGGTGGTTGGTTTTTTTCCAAACCTGCAGTACTTAGAGTGATTTCTCAGGGAGGTAATGCTTTAAGGGCTGCTGAGAGTGCCTCAGCCTTGATTAAGATGCGAAGTTAAAGTTGCTGGGTGTTAAAAACATTGGTTCAGGAACCAGCAGCACAGAACAGCCTGTCCCTGCTATTCCTGGAGCTCTGTGAGGCTGTTCACCATCCAGCATTACTATTCTACTTATTTTCGAGAATATTACTCTGCCCCCTAGTTCAAAATTCCTGTTTTTTAAAGTCATGAAAATTAAATGACACCTGTTCCCGTCCCCACTGCCTCACTGTGTTAGTCTATTGATTTTCCTTACTACATCTGCAGTGATGGGGATGGGGGAATGGGAAGATGGAGATCTGGACTCAAGTGCCTTTTCTGTGTGTCTCTCCGTGGTGGAAATAATAACACCTCCTACTTGGATTTAGAGAGCAAGAACTTTACACATATTATCTCCTATGTGAGACCAGAGATATACAGAGGAAGCAAATTAATGTTTTTTAGGTACCTAAGCATTGTACTACTGACAGTGCCTCTCACAGAAACAGAGAAGTCATTAGCTGGTCATTAACTTGATTTGAAATTAGGTGACTCACTCTTATGGCTCTTGCCCCAGGGATGACACATCCCCACACCCTTGGGGTTGGGATCCACTGTTGGGATCCTGCTCAGCCCTGCACCTGGGAGGAAAAATGCAAATGTGATTCTTACCTAAGAAGAACTTCACAACTGGCTGGGGAGCCCAAACACAAGTCAAGAAATAACTAGAGGGTATTTAAAGGGAGAGTTGTGTGTTCATAGTCAAGAGACCCAGGACTGTGAAGTGTAGTTCTCATGGAAGAAGGTGACCAGGGCATCTTCCTGGACCACACAGGAGGATTTGGCTGAGGGGCTGGGATCTGGAGTTGGTATCTGAAAAGGCAGATGGCAGCACCCATGCTCATGGGTCCCATCTTAGCAGGTCCCAGAGACAGGCTTGGCAGGAGCAGCAGGTGGAGCCATGTGATCTGACCTCCCTCGGCCTCAGCTCCCTTTATTTCCAAGCTTCACTCATATATCATCTTCACATTTGTGGTACTATCTTCATTCCACCTGTTCCATTATTACTTGATTTTTTATATCTGTGTGGTCCAACAAGAAATGCAGTTGGTCTTTGTCCTTGGTTCCTGTCCCAGAGCTGCTGAAACCCGTGGGATTTCCTGAGGGATGGGGAAACCTTTGGTTATTCAAAATGAGCCCCTTTGGATACTATCTCCAGGTAGATTGTGTCGGAATTGAAATGTCTGCTGGAGAATTGCTTGGTTTGTGGGGAAACTTCCCCCCACGCCCTACCTGGTATCAGAAATATATCTGTGTTTTGAGAGTTTAGTAGGAGAAACTGTGTTTTTGTCAAAATCAGCTTCTTTACAAATACATGTTAAATGAAACTTTAAATAACTACTGTCAATAGAAAACCAGTATTTTTCCCCAATAAATGCTGAATACATAATTTTTAAAGCAGTAAGCATTGTGAGCTCCCTTAACACCTTTTTCTAGACTCTGGGGGTGGGTGTGTCCCACTCACAGGCCCATTTCTAAACCTCCAAGCTGCTCTTTTGACTCTTACCTATTCTCCTCAAACCCCAAACCACCTTTTCCTCAGAACCTCTCAGCAATGACCTTTTTCTCTGAATTCACAGTGACCTCCTTCAAATTCCCCATCCTCCTCTTCAAAATGGCTTGTATTCTCATTAATCCTTCGTGTGTTTCTTCTTGACTCTGAGAGTGTGTCCCTTCTCCTTTCCAGTCGTGTTGCCTGTGCTCCCTTCATTTATTCACTGATCATCTGTTCTGGGCCATCCCTATGCTCAGGGAGCTTACACTGGTACTACTGGCGTCTAATGAGTAGAGGCTAGGGATACTGCTGAACGTCCTACAATGCCCAGGACAGTGACAGTCCCCCACAACAACAAAGGATCTAGACCCACATGTCACAGTGTAGAAACCCTGGTTTACAACCAACAGGCTCCTATAATCTGTCCCAGCCTACCTGTCTGGCTTCCATCCTTTGTCCTTCCATCCCCCTCCTCAGCTGAACCCTATAGCTACATCGGTCACTTGCTGTCCCTCCACAGCCTAACACACATCCACACCCTTGAACTTTGTACATGGTGTTCTCTTGGCTCAGATGCACTTTCCTCGTATTGGTCCTTAAGAGCCTTACTCACGTCTTGAGATCTTGTGCAAATACTCCACTCCCTGAGTGCCTCACTGATACGCCTCTCCTCCAGCTCAACACGGTGCCTTCCTTCTGCTTCCGTGCTCCCGGCGGCCTTCCCATAGCCCTCATTTTGACCCATCGTAGTAGAAGTACTGTGCGCGCCTGGCCATGCTGCAATTTAAAGTACAAAGTGATAACTTCTGTGTTAGAGGAAGGGGGGGGTCTTCGTTATCTAACTCTTCGTTTTTTGAGTCCTTGCTGTAAATTTGAAAACAGCAGCATAGAACCTCATCTGTTGAGCCTACGTGTTTGCTGGTTAGTCTCTCACTGGTTGTCCACGGCTAAAAATGTACAACAAATGGTTGGAAAATGAAACCAAAACTCTTGGGAAAGATGCAGCATTTCATCAAGTTGATGAGAATGATGTTCAAGAATTCCTCTGTTATACACGAAACCACCAATAGAAGACTTGGTGTAGAATTAAGACAGTTAATGCTTGAGTTGTGAAAATTGACAAGGGATGGTTCACAGAGAAAAAGCATATCATAAGGCAAGATTTAAATAGCTAAAAACCAAGAGAAACCCTTGGGAAAACTAATCAAGACCCTGAATAATTCTGCAAAGATGTCCATCGCTTCAACTGAGTTGTGAAATTCAAACATATTGCATAGTGCTATTTTCCAGTTTGATGGGGAAAAACATGGCAAAAACTGGCACTTGATTCATTCTTTGTAATAATTTCATTGAGTTACAATTTAATCTAAGCCATGTGCATATGTATATATCTCATATAAATATATATCATAATATATGGATATACATCACTCCATCTATGCATATGTAATATATTTGTGTATATAAACCTACTGTTATCATTTTATATTTTATTTTTTAAGGTTAACATCTCAGCTACACTTTTTGCTTTTCATTATTTACTATGAAATTTTGGTGCTGTGGATTCAGTTTCAGTGGGCTCACTGGGTAGCAGCTACACGCCAGAAATGGGGGCTTTCTTAAACTGCACAGCTAGGATTAAAGATCAGGTAGAAGAAAATCGCAATAAGTACTTAGGGGAGGAAACAGCAAGGGCAAAACTGCGAGGAGGGGAAGGGGAAGTTTGAGTTGTTTTCAGGAAGCCCCACTGGCAAAGCCCTTGGCACACTCTCACCTTTTCACTTTGTGACCCAGGTGGCCCTTAGAGAGTGGAGAGCCAGGGTCCGTGTGGTCATGGAATGAGCCAGAGAGAAGTGACTGGCACAGCTCAAGCCTGGTCTCTTCCATCTGGGGAACTTAACTGGCCAGGAAGGAGAGACCAGAAAGAAGGAGGAGCTCAGAGCCCAGCTGACCTCAGGCCAGGAGTCCACGCTTGTCTCTGCGGAGGGGTCCTCCCTAGTAATAATGAAAAGCAAAAAGGGGATCTGAGA